TTTTTGGTTTTTCTCCGGTACCGGGAACTGAACTCACGACCTTGCGCTTGCCAGGCAGGCGCTTTTTGCCGCTGAGCTAAATCCCCAGCCCCCCACCATTCTCTTTTAAAGATGGAGAGACTGAAGCTCAGAGAGGCTAAGATGTCACCCAAGAGCTGAGCCTCACACTGGGTTTGAGCTCCCTCGCTGCCTTTGTCCTCATGTCTCGCTTCCTATCTCTCCACTGTGATGTCTTCAGGGTCCTCTGCTCTTGTGACTTTGCTCTGGGGGAGGATCTAAAGCTTAGTGACTCCAATGGCCCAGAGGGTCAGCTTCAGCTTCTTAGGGTGCCTGGCTCAGCCTCCCCAACGGACGTTTGTGCCCGGACTAAGGCGGGACCCCGATGGTGCCAGATGTCACCACCAGAGGGCGCAGCCGTTGCCCAGGTGAGGGTAAGGGGGGAACCCTTCCCAGCTTCCAGAGAAACCGAGCAGGCTCCTGGGTCCAAGGCTGCCCCCTCATGGAGTCCAGGGAGCCCCCTCATGGAGCCCCTGTCGCCTTCCCGTCTCTGTCAACAGAGCTCTCACTGACCCTTCTTCCCCAGTTCCTGCTTGGCTCAGGAGTCAGATTTCCCCCGGCGTGGGTGTAAGGAATCGAGGGTCTCCCCGCAGATCGGGTGGCTGCCTGCTTCTGCTCCCTCCTCCCTAGGAGGCCACTCCCGGATGAGCTCCTTGTCTTCTGCAGCCCCAGTGCTGAGACAGTGCCAAGCACCAGATCGCCCCCTCTGTCAACTCTCAGCCTCTTCACAAGGGGTGTGTGTGTTGGGGGGGGCAGAGGGTGTGGACCCAGAGATGGAAAGGCAGCACCCTGGGCCACACAGCCGGCCAGAGGGCCTCATGGGTACTCAGGCAGGGCAGTGTCTGGGCAGCACTGCAGTGGTGGGAGGGAGAGTCTCCAGGCTTCTTCCACTCAGCCACCGCCTCCATTTCCTTAGTATTTCCTCCGCGTCACCTCCCACCCCTTGAGGGGAGCACCCTCATGGTTCCCACTTGCTCAGCCAGGTTTCTGCCCAGGTCCCGCTGCCCTCCCTCCTCCACCGCAGGCCTGCCTGACTCCCTCCCTCCCCAAGCTTAGCCCCTGGGCTGTGGCCACCAAGGGCCTGGCCGGGGTCCCAGGCACCACACCGCAGTGGCCAGCCTTGCTCCCCGCTCAGGACAGTCCCAGTCTGTCTGGCAGGGCTGGCGGGCAGGGGATTGGCTCGAGCTGCCCCCGCCTTTGGGAGGAGGGGAGGCCGGGCGGCTCACCCAAGGTCACCCTCCTTTTCCAGCATCCCTGTGCAACCTTTGTCCTCTCTGCCTCACCTTGAGGAGGGAGTCCAGATGCCTAGCAGTCAGAATGTGGGGCTGGTGGAAAGGCTCAGTGACTTTATTCCTTCCACAAATGCTGAGCGCCTACTGTTTGCCTGGCCCTGAGAACACAGCCCTGAACGCGGAGACACCATCACACAAATCAAGTGCATTTGTGTCTGTGAGCCGGGTGGCACATTGCCAAGCACTTGGTTGGCCAGGGCTGGCGTCTCGGGCTGTGAGGAGTCAGGGGCTTTTTTTGGCCTAGGCAAAGGAAGCTTCAGGCAGAGGGCTGTGTGAGGGCTGGGCAAAGCCTCAGTCTCCTCATCTGGAGGAGCGGCCTGGTTGTGGGCTTGGGCTTGCTTTGAGGCAGCCTGCATGCTGGCTCACAGCCCTCAAAAAGAAGGCGCTGTTGTCTCCCTCATGGGGGAGGGATGAGGACTCAAGGGCCAACATGGCAGGGAGGACATTCCCAGGAGACCTGCGGCCCCTACTCCGCTTGCAGGTGGCCTCAGGGAGGTAAGGGACCCCTGTCCTAGGCCCCTTCCCTCACCCAGGGTGAACGGGGGGGTGGGCTCCACAGCTGCCTTCTCCCACCCCAGGTTTCTGACCACGTGGCACCTCTGCACCCTAGCCCTGGGGGAGGATGATTTCTGATCCACGGGGGTGGGGAGCAGAGAAAGGGGGGTGGGACCAAGGGTAGGCTGTGACCTGAGCCCTTGGCATAGCCGCACCCACAGCCCCGGGCAGCAGGGAGGGGGAGCTGTCTCTTTAAGAGCCTTCAGGCTGCTGGGAGCAGATGGCCAGGCCGGCCGGGGCCCCTTGTCCTTTGTGTGCCTTTGCACAAAAGAGGGGGCCAGCTGGGGAGGGGGCGGCTGCAGCAGGTGGGAGGGGTGGGGGCTTGCCCCTCCCCCTCCTAACCCTGCACCCTTGCCCCTTGGGGGGCGCTTGCTCACTAGGAATGCACTTTCTCCAGGGACCCAGTGATTCCCACAGTCACCCCCAAACTCACTACGCCCCTGCTGCGTTGTGTCCCACCTCCCTGGCAGAATCCTCTCTGTATTAGGGCTGAGGGACCCCTCCATTCTAAGGAATGAACCTTCCCTCCCTGTCCCCGCCTCCAGAGGGGTTCTTCCTCTAGCTGCAGAGCCAAGTGACACTACACTCAGGTCCCGGGGTGGGGGAGCAGCAGGGGTAGTGGGGGGGGGGCTGGGCCAGAGGGAGTTTTGGCCTGGATCCTGGCATGAGGGTGGGGGTGGAGAGTACCTGGGGCATCTTGGAAGAGGAAGGCCTGGGTAGGCATGAAGCTGAGGCCGAGGCCTGGGGTGGAGCGAGGGGTTCAGGAGAGCGGGATGGGGGACCCAACTGAGGCGCTGCCTGATGGAAGGCGGCCCGCAAGATGAAAGACGCCTTGGGAGAAGAGAGTGGTGTGCACAATGGTTGCCTGGCAAGCAGAAGGGGACAGAGACAAGAGCCTCCCTAAAGGGTGGAGGCCCTGGGCGCGGGGATGGCACCCTGCCACTCCGGAGGGGCCGGCCTGGGAAGGCGCAGTTCAGCTTGGAGCAGACCCTTTAGCTCAGAGCGGTCCTTGGTCCCCTGGTCCATTCATTCGCCTCCTTCGGAAGACCTTCTCACCCCGGGGCTCGGTGCCCAACCCGTGATTTAAGAAGTGGAAAACGGCCCCATGGTCCTGGCCCAAGGTGTGGCGGGCAACGTGGCCGCTGGCTGGGTGGCCTCCAGGAGCCCGACAGCAGCGCAGCAGCCGGGTGGGGTGGCACCTGACTCGGCCAGGATGCCCACAGAGAGAGCCTCCAGGGACAGGCAGCCCCAACCGGGTCGTGGCCGGACCACAGGACCCCGGCCGGTTGGCCACAGGCAGGGGTGGGGGTGGGGACCCCTGACTGGGTCCTGGGCTGTTTCTAAATTTAGGGATCTGATTACAGAGCAGCCGAGGACGAGAAAGGAAAGGAGCGCGGGAGCAGCTCGGCCTGGGCACAGCGGGTGTGCTGGGAGGTCCGGGTGGGAGGGCGCGGGAGGGGGCTCGGTGCGTGCGCTGCAGCACGTGCCCCGGGCGCCGGTGAGCGCGCGGGCTCTTTGTGCGCCTGGCAGGGTGGCTGGGTCTGGCTTTGAAAGTCTCTGCCCACCCCCTCCCCCATCTCCGTCTGCGCCTTCCTACCCGCTTCCCTGTCTGTCACTCGCCGGTGCTTCCAGCTGGGGTGACAGGGGATCCACGGGAGGAGTGGCCCTGCAGCTCAGACCTTCCTCCAGACCTCCTACTCCCATCCCTCAGCCCTCGGGGCTGCTGCTCTGGGGTGCAGACTGCAGCAGTTGAAGGAAATTGAGGTGACCTCTGGGACCCACAGGTCCATCAGAAGCCAGACTCTGGCCCAGTAGCCCTTGGAGGAATTCATCCCTCGCCTGTCCGGCCTCCCATCCGCTCAGGCCCCCAAGGGCGCATGAAGGGGGGGTCCCCCTTGCGGAAGGGGGGCGGGGAGTTCTTTGGCAGGACGGGAAATGGAAGGAAAAGCAGAGCTCCACCCGGGCAGGCAGGCGGCCTCTAGGCCCCCGGGGCAGGAACCCGAGCCCAGTGGTGTGTGGGGCTGAGGTGCGCGTGGGAGGAGCTGAGCCTCCAGCTACTCCTGGGGTGCAACGGGGTCTCCCCAAGGACAAGTCGGTGCGTCGGGGGACGCGAGGGGGACCATGCTAAGTGCTGCGCTCCCCGCCCCGGTCCTGACCCCACCCCCTGGAGGTCCAGCCCCGGGCCCAGGCCCCGCCCCGGGCCCTCCCTCCCAGCCCAGGGCCAGATGTTCAGCTGGCGGAGGCATCGGCTGGGGGAGGGGTGCTGAGGCCGCAGCCGGCACTACTTCCCTGCCAGCAGCTTCATTGTGTGCGCGAGGAGCGAGCGGCGGCGAGAGCGGGCGGGCAGGCGGCAGCGCGAGCGCGGCGGGGAGAGCGCGGTGGGGAGAGCGAGCGCGCCGGGGAGGGTGCGAGGCGGCGCCCGCGGTTGCGCTCCGCCCGCTCCCAGCAACTCTGCCCTGGCGCCGTGCGCGCCTCCTGCCGACGCCGAGTGCCGTCGCGGGCAGGGGTCTGGCCGGACAGGGGTCCCAGTCCGGGCACTGGGGCATCCCTGGCGCCTCCAAGAGGCGTAGAGCCCGTGGGGGCGTAAACTGCGTTGTAGCCCTCGCCGGCTGAAGGGCGTGGGCGCGCGGGCGGCGGGGCTCCAGGGCGCCCCGAGGACAGGACGCCCCCACTTCTCCGGGGGAGCCCCAACCCCAAGGGTCGCATAGAGCCAGCCTGTCCCAGCCACGCTGGACCTTGCGCTCATCGCAGCGTACCCCACTTCTGCACAAACTTTTCTGACGCCCTCGCCCGGGAGGGTCGCGGTGAGCGCGGGGGCTCCCCTCCGGGCTCCCGCCCCGCCGGACCCCAGCCACGCTGACCTCCGGCCTCTGGTAGCCTCAGAGGCGACCTCTCCAGGTCGGGCCGGGGAAGGCAGTCGAGGCGAACGCGGACACCGCCGTCGCTCTCCGCGGGCCCCCGCGCCCCCCCGGGGCAGCCGGGCAGGGTAATGCCCGCGGTGATGGAGAAGCCGAGTGCGGGCTCCGGGATCCTGTCCCGCAGCCGGGCCAAGACGGCGCCCAACGGCGGCCAGCCGCCCTCCGAGGATGACAGCAGCGAGGAGGAGCACTCTCACGGTGAGCCCGGCGGCCGGGGGTTGCAGGCGCGCCGGCCCGGGTCGCAGCGTGGGGCGTGGGGCGCCGGGGGGGGGAGTGGTAGACCGCGGGCCTCTTACACTGATGGTTCTTGCCTGTCTTGAATTGGAGCCTCTGCCTCACTGCTCCCTCAATCCTGGGGCTGCCGCCTGGGCCCCTTGCTGCCATGGAGGCAGTCCTGCCCGCCCCCGCCCTGCCCTTGGTCGCTGAGGGACCTAGGCGTGTCTCCTTTTCAGATTGGGTCCCGCATACCTTGCCAGCTTCAGGGGACTGAGGTCTGGCAGGGGCAGAGGCTGAAAAGATATCTCCTCACAGAGCCTGAGACTCATGTGGTGGGGAGGAGCCCAGGGCTCCCTGTGGGCTGTGGTCCAGGTCTCGGGGCTGCCCTCCACGCCCTCACCCTCAGCCAGAACAAAGCGCTCTGCTTTGGCTTGGGCTTTAAAACTGTCCTCCTGTCACCTCCGCCCTCGTGCCCCGGTCGTGACTAGACAGGGTCGCTCCCTCTTCCAGTCCCCCTGGGGCAGAGGGTAAACAGGGAAGCTAGGTGAAAGTGAGCCTCCTGGAAGGTGGGGGGCCGGGGTGGTAGGTCAGGAAGGAGAACTCCAGGCCACCCCACCCCTGGCCTCCCTCCCTGGAGTCCTGACTGCCTCCTGGCTCCGCAGACAGCATGATCCGCGTTGGAACCAATTACCAGGCCGTAATTCCAGAGTGCAAGCCTGGTGAGTGGCAGCACAGGCGGTGAAGGGAGGGGGTGGAGGCCGATGGCTTGGCCTGCAGCCCCACCTGGGGAGCCCTTGGCCGGCTCCTGCCCGAGGGACAGGCTGGCGGGCGAGGTGGGTGGCCTCGTGGTCGTGGCATTACTTTTCCTGCTGTGCCTTGCTGTCTGGGTCTCTGCCCCTCCTTCCCTTCTAAGCCTTACCTCCCAAGCCCCACTCCTCTGCTGCCCTCTGGCCTTGGGTCCAGGCTGGCCCCACCAGGCTGATCTGAGTTCTTCCCTCACGCTGTTTGGCCTTCAGAGAGCCCGGCGCGCTACAGTAACAAGGAGCTGAAGGGGATGCTGGTGTGGTCACCCAACCACTGTGTGTCAGATGCCAAGCGTGAGTGGGGTGGGCTCCTGGTTCAGGCTCAGCCCTGGGAGGTGGGGGCTTGGCTTCATCTCCTTCTCAGACCAGCTCTTCTCAGAAGTGGAATGTAAGCTGGGTGCTGTGGAACACACCTGTAGTCCTACCTATTTGGGAGATTGAGGCAGAGGGATCACTTAAGCCTAGGAGTTTTTTTTTTTTTTTTTTGTACTGGGAAGCGAACTCAGGACCTTGTGCTTGCCAGGCAAGCGCTTATTCCGCTGAGCTATATCCCTGGCCCCAAGCCTAGGAGTTTGAGACCAGCCTGGGCATCGTGGTGAGACCCTGTCTTTAAAAAAAATAGGATGCAAGCTGGGAGTGGTGGGGCACGCCTGTAATCCCAGCACTCAGGAGGCTGAGGCAGGATGATTGTTGTGAGTTTGAAGCCAGCCTGGGCTACAAAGTGAGCTCACGGCCAGCCTGAACTGCATAGGGAGACTCTTGTCTCCAAGAAAAAAAAAAAAGAAGAAAGGAAAGGAGCTCGTGGGGCTGAGGGTCAGGGGCTTTGCCCCTGGGGGTTACCCCTTTCTGGACAGGTCTGGGTTAGGAGCCATAATCCTCTGTCCAAGACCTTGCTCCTCTGCCCTGCAGTTGATAAGTACATTGCAATGGCCAAGGAGAAGCACGGCTACAACATCGAGCAGGTGAGCTGGGGCTGCATGAATGCTTGGGGGTAGGGATGGGATGGTGCTGGGATGGCAGAGACTGAGCTGCCTCATGTGCCTGGCCAGGCACTGGGCATGCTTCTCTGGCATAAACATGATGTGGAGAAGTCCTTGGCCGACCTGGCCAACTTCACCCCGTTCCCTGATGAGTGGACCGTGGAGGACAAGGTGCTGTTTGAGCAGGCCTTTGGCTTCCATGGCAAGTGTTTCCAGCGGATCCAGCAGATGGTAAGGCCCCTCGCGCACACAGCCCTCCAGAGTTCCTCAGCCCCTTTGTCCCGCCAGCTTCCAGGGACCCAGAGTCTCGGGTGGGCCCCCACTCTGGCCTTGTCTCCCTAGCTGCCAGACAAGCTGATTCCCAGCCTGGTGAAGTATTACTACTCTTGGAAGAAGACCCGCAGCCGGACTAGTGTGATGGACAGACAGGCACGGCGCCTGGGTGGCCGCAAGGACAAGGAGGACAGGTAGGGGCACAGGCCAGCACTGGGTGGGGACAGGCCTGTCCTTGCCTCATTCCCTCCCTGACCCCTGTGTCAGCAGTGATGAGCTTGAAGAGGGACGAGGAGCTGTGAGTGAGGGTGAGCCAGATGCTGGAGACCCCAAGAGAGAGGTGAGGTGCTGGGTGACTCTGGCTGCACCTGAGCAGCTGCCTATCCTTGGGGTCTTACGGTCTATCCCATCTATCCTTACCCTGCAGCCTCTGCCCTCTCGGCCCCTGAATGCACGACCGGGCCCAGGGAAGAAAGAGGTCCAGGTGTCTCAGTACCGCCACCATCCACTGCGAACTCGGCGACGCCCACCCAAGGGCATGTATCTGAGCCCTGAGGGCCTCACTGCAGTGTCAGGAAGCCCAGATCTTGCGAACCTCACACTCCGTGGTCTTGACTCCCAGCTCATCTCTCTCAAGCGCCAGGTGAGGGCCCAAGACAGGAGGTGTACAATGTGTGCTGTCAGCTCCTGGGAAGTGTTTGAGGGCAGCTGAGTTGTAGTGCAGTGGGTACAGGCGCTAAGCCTAGTTTGGCTCCACCTCTAGGACTGGTCAAGCTTGCCAGGCAAGCGCTGTGCCGCTGAGCTATATCCCTGGCCCTAGGACCGGTGTTCTTCTCTGGACCGTCTTCTTAAAAACGATTATTAAACAGGGTTGTGTCGGAGAAGTGAGCTGGACGGTGGTGTCAGAGAAATTTGTTAGGGGAAGGGGGGCCCTGGTGAGGCTGGGGGTGGTGACCTCCCAGGGAGTCTGAGGAGTCTGATCATCCCTTCTTGGCCTCCCTAGGTGCAGAGCATGAAGCAGACCAACAGCAGCCTCCGGCAAGCCCTGGAGGGCGGCATTGACCCATTGCGACCTCCTGAGGTAAGGCTGAGCTGGAGGTTTGGGTGCAGAACGGGGTTCTCTCTGGAGATGGAATAGAAAGGGGGAGTTCTGCATGAGTTCTGCTGCATAGTTTTTTTGTTCTTTAATTTTTGCTTTTTTGAAACAGTGTCTCACTATGTAGTGCAAGTTGGCCTTAAACTCACTATGTATCCCAGGCCGGCCTGAACTCTTTGATTTTCCTGCTTCAGCCTCCAGAGTGCTAGGATTATAGGCGTGTGCCACCATGCCTGGCCTTTTTTTTTGTTTGTTTTATTTCCATATTTTTAAGTCTAAAGTTTATATTTCTTGTTCTCTAGGCCAATACCAAGTTCAACTCCCGCTGGACCACAGATGAACAGCTTCTGGCTGTGCAAGGTGGGTCAAACCATGGGAGAGAACAGAAGACGCCTGCAATGTCTCTCCCCCTCCAAGGAGCATAAGGTGGAGGGAAAGGGTCAGGGAAGTAACTAGCTCTGAGGGACATTCACACTGTGCTGCCCTTTTGACCCTTGCAGCCATCCGTAGATATGGCAAAGACTTTGGGGCTATTGCAGAGGTGATTGGGAACAAGACTCTGACCCAAGTGAAGACATTCTTTGTGAGCTACCGGCGCCGCTTCAATCTGGAGGAGGTGCTGCAGGAATGGGAGGCTGAGCAGGATGGGGGCCCTGGAGCCCCAGTCTCTATGGAGGAGGCTAGGAGAGGGGCTCCCTTGCCAGCGCCAGCTCTAGAGGAAGATGACGAGGTGAGGAGTGAGCAAAATCCTCAGAGGCACCAGTGAAGGCCTGAGGATATACAGGTGCCCATTTTTTCACTTTTTCTGTTCTCTCAGGTCCAGATTACATCTGTCTCAACATCTGTGCCTCGATCGGTGCCCCCTGCACCACCCCCACCTCCACTGCCCACCTCACTGTCTCAGCCACCCCCGCTGCTGAGGCCGCCTCTGCCCACGGCTCCCACTCTGCTTCGCCAGCCGCCCCCACTGCAGCAGGGCCGCTTCCTGCAGCCCAGGCTCGCCCCCAACCAGCCCCCACCACCTCTCATCCGCCCGGCTCTGGCTGCCTCCCGCCACAGTGCTCGGCCTGGCCCTCAGCCCCCACCCACCCTGATTGGAGCCTCCCTGGAGCCTCCTGCACCCTCACTCTGAGCCTTGGGCTTCTGTACCACCCAGAGGCACCTGAGTCCCTTTGCTGGACACCCTGGGGTATCTCCGGTGTCAGAGGATAGAAGCGACTAGGGCTCTTGACAGGTCTTTCAAAGACCCAGAGCTGTCAGGTAGCACAGCCTGGACCTGAGGGTGCTGTGTGTGTTCTGGCAGCCGGGCTGTCTCTTCCTAGCCAGGGATGGGGCTCAGGGGCCTTCTGAGCTGGCCTGAGGGCTACGCTGCTTCCTGGCTGGGACTGGAATGGCTGCCTCGCTGTCTGTGAGGGCTTGGCCTCTGGGCTTGCCCTGTGTGCGTAGGAGGTAGTGACCTTAGTGTGGGGGCTGGGAGGAGGACAGTTTGGGGTGCTGGCTGTCCTTGTTCCCCTTCCCCTCCTTTTAGCAATAAGACTGGGGCGAAGGGAGAGGGGGAGGGGTTGGGGGAGGTGGGCAAAGGTTCCTGGGGCCTGACAGCAGTGCTGGCTGGCAGGAAGCCTGTCCTCAGGGCCAGGTGGTGATGCTGAGGACCTGAGGGTGCACACCTGTCCCCCTCCCCAAGCTTGAAGAAAGGAGGGTTGGGAACTTACGCAGACGTGGGTCTATTTTTCAACATTTTTAAAAAATAAATAAATACAATCTCCTAAGCTTGCCCAGTCTTCTTTCCCCTCCCTGCTTCCCTAGAGGTGGGAGGGAGCTGGCCTTTCCAGCCCTGGCTGCTCCCCAGGCCCCAGCCAGAAGCCACTTCTCTCCACAAGGCAGGCTGGGCCACATCTTGCCCAAGGGGCCTATGTCCCGTGGGGTGGTAGGGCAGAGAGAACAGGAGGCAGTAGCTCAGATTCCAAACATTCTCTTTATTACGTGTTTGATCCAGAGGAAAAACTTAAGTGCAGGGCAGGGAAGGAGGGGCTAGGTGGGGAGGGGCCACCTTGCCTGGGTGCCCCTGGCCTCCACCCCCTTCAGGAGCCAAGCCATGCCCTCCTGGTCCCCTCGAGCACCCGGGCTGTTCCTTAGGGCAGGAAGGGGAGGAGGGAGGGAGGGGGAGCCCTTGGTCTGAGCCGGAGCCACAGTTGGAGCAGGAGCAGGAGGGCTGAGGTTGGCGAGGCCCCTTCCTGGGACCCAAGGGCTCGACTTGTCACTGAGCCTGGCCTGGGACTGGGGGTGATGAACAGGGGTGGAGTCATCATAAATCAAAAAAAAAAATAAAATAAAATAAAATAATAAAATAAAAAATAAAACCCATCACAAAAAATGTACAACTCAAGGGAGGGCTGGGGCAACCTCTGTAGGGCCCCCTCCCCCAATTTCTCAAGAACTGAAACAGCAGAGAAATAAATTAAGGGATGCAGTGGCCACCACCAGCCAAGCGCCCATAGCCACCCACTCCCACACTGGCCACGGAGGTTAGCAAGCGGGGAGTCACTTTACCCATCTGCCCCCCACCTGTGGGGGGGCAGACGCTCCCGGCCCTGCCGCCCAATCCAGCCTTCCGCCAGGTGGCCTTGGAGGCCCTGGGCAGTCTCCTGAGAGGAGGGGCGACAGTGTCAGGAAAAAAGGCAAGGCCGAGAGATGAGAGTGGTGTGGGAAGTCACTGCTCTGGAATGAGCTGGTGCCCAGATTAATGCCAATGAAGGGAAAGCGGTGGGGAGGAGGGACGGCGAGGGGACTGTGCTTTCAGACAAAGGCTCTCCCAGAACGGAGAAGCCCGGCGTCCTGTTCAGAGACTAGCAGCCTGAGCGCCCCGTGTGGGCTGAGGAGCCCATCTGCCCTGCAGTCCCCTCCCCCGCTCCCAGTCCTGGATCAGCCCTCCCAGCAGGAGGGATAGGAGAAGATGGCACAGACTTTTGAGGAGGGGAATAAAGGTCCCCACAGCAGCTTGTGGAAGGAAATGCCCAGCTCTGGGGAAGGGAGGGCAGAGGATACAGTGTGAGGGAGGCCAGGGCCCCCACGCAGCCCCACCCTCTCCAGGGCTGCACAGCACCCCCGCCTGGCCCCTGGCCCCCAGGCCCACAGCCCAGGGATCTGGGGGCAGGGGAAGGCCACCTCTGGTGGTTTGCTTGGAGGGGAAGAAGGGGAGGAGAGGGGAGAAGCCCAAAGTGGGCCTGGCGGAGGGCCTGCCAGGGAACTCCACCACTCTTGCCTGAGAGTGTTCCAGCCCTGAGCCACCCTCCCGGGAAACCCCACAGATCCAGTCTCGTCTGTCCCGATGGGGCAGGGAGGAAAGGTGGCCGCTGGGATTTTTTTTTTTTTTTTTTTTGTTTTTGGTAATAAAAAATTTCTTGGTTTAGGCGAAATACTCTGTGCAACCGCAGTACCGAGGGGGAGCCCTGCCCCCCCTTGCCCCCTCCCCTTCCTTTGCCTCCTGTGGGAGAGAGAGGGGAAAGGGGACTTTCTGGGCCAGGTGAACGTGAGTTGGGAGAGCCATCTCCTATCCTCCACAAACATGGGAGAATAAAGGAGAAGGGCTAGGGAGGGGACAAGTGCCAGCAGGGGAGACACACCAATTCATTGCTGCAGTCTCGCCTAGGTGGGGGCGCAGTGGCCAGCCTCAGCAGCCAAGTCCAGCTGGCCTGCTCTTGGCGCCCCCGGGCCGGCAGCCTGTTAAAGCTTCAGTTCATTTGCTATTTTAGAGGCTATGTTCTTAAAGGCCATGGAGGTGCCTGATATCCGCTTAAATCGAACACCGTTGAGCGAAAGCCGTGGCAGTTTGCACACCTCCATCTCCCACTGCACGAAGTTTTCATGGCCCGGTGTGCCATGCATGCACAGCAGCATGTACTTCTCGTGCAGCTCGCTCTGACAGCTGTTCGCATCCAGCACCTTGCGGATCTCCCGCATCATCTCATTGGGCTCCATGGAGCTTGTGGTCTTCATACTCCATGTAAAGCGCAAAGAGCGTGGCTTGGCCTCCCGAAATTCTTCTTTTTCTTTGTCATTGCCTCCACTGCCCACCACGTGAGGTCTGTGGAGAGGGGAGAGTGGGCATCAGTCAACAGGTGGAGGCACCTCACCCACAGGAGTGCCACCCTGGCAGACAGACCCTGAGACCAGAGAGGAGCGAGGGAGCACAGAGCATCGAGCTGGAAGAGGGAGCAGTGTGACCCCCGTCTGAGGGGCAGCAAGGGGGCAAGAGGGGCAGGCAGCCCTCTGGCCCTTGTTTCTCCAGAGGTGGGCGAGAGAAGCCAGCAGGGGTGGGGTGAGGGTGAGAATTCCATGCTGTTATTGGCGCTTTTCTTTGAAGACGGGAGGGTCAGGCAGAAACAAATGCATTCATCCACACCAGGCACACTGTCCCTCTAGAAAGTAGCCCAGAAACACAGAGGAGAGGTAGCCATGGGGCAGGAACCAGTGGGCCCAACCGCCCGACCCAGGGCTGCAACCTCCAGAGTATCTGGGATCTGAGGAAAGAGCCCAGAACTATTGCATTGGGTCTGGGAAAGGGAAATTCTCTGAGGAAAGGGAGGCCCAGGAGGGTGGGGGCAGGGCAGAACCACCGGAGGACGAGCCAAGTGGCAGAAGGAAGAAAGGAGTAGGCGGCTTGTGGCAAGCCCGGTGGCCTGGGCAGGGCCAGTGCTGGCTCCGGCCCTCTCACCTGAGCGTCTCCACTCGGTCTTTGCTTTCGGGTTCATTCAGGTTCCTCAAAAAACAGAGCGAGGCAGAGTTTAGTGCTGGGATCTCTCGCTCCTTCCGCCGCCACAGACCCAGGTGAGGGTGGGTCTGGGGAGGTGCCACCAGTGGGTGGGCAGGACCCAAGCCCAAAGGCCACTTGCCTATCACCTGCAGGCCAGCATGGCTCTGCAGCACCTCATACTGGCAGTTCAATCATCCCTTCCAACAGGGAGCCTTTCCCTCCCCACACTCCCAGAGATCTGTGCCAGAAGGAGCCGCTACTGGGGGAGGAGGGGTGTGGCTGTGCAGGCACAAGTCCCCACTACAGGCCCAGCAGGAACAGCTCCCTCTCCAGCCCACAGCCAGGCTCTTGCTCTCTATTGGGGAGGGAGGCTGGGAGTGGCCTTTCTACCACTGCACCAGGGCTGCAGAGGGAAGGCCACTGGAATGAGGCTTTGGGTCTCTGCCGTGGGGGTGGGGGGTCGGGGGGGGGGGGGGTGGAGGGTAAGAAGCCTCTCTCAGGAGGCCCAGAGTGCTGAAAACTGGAGCTGCGTGGCAGAAACCTGGCGCTGGGCATCTGTGGCCAAACTGGAAAGCAGTTGCTCCCTGCACGTGTAACTCCCCTACTCCAGGCCTGCCAGGCCCACTGCTCATACAGGAGAGGGGCCAGGGGCCAGGAAGATGCCTCAGGGATGGGTAAGAGGTCTGGCCCCGCTGAGCGGCTTCTCCAGCTCCTGCCCAGAAGATGGGTGCCTGGAGCTGGGAAACTGGGGACTGCAGAGGGAGGGAGGGAGGGAGGTGAGGAGAGCAGCAGCAGCACATACAGAAGACAAAGACACACAGACACACAGATGCCAACAAGCGCACTGCGATCAGGGCCTGGCTGTGCAAGGAAAGGAGTCCTGGCAGTTCTCTCCCAGCCTCTGCAGGGCAGGCCCCACCAGCCATGCAGTGAGCTGGGGGAGGAGCAGGGGTGGGAAGCCCCAGAGACTTTGCCTGGCCAGTTTTCCCCTTAGCTGGGACACCAGTGTGCCTGTCTGGCAACCTGTGTTCCCAACCTGGCCCTTGGTTTGGCTTGGTATTTGGCCCAGCCAGGCCTACAGAGAAAAAGACAAGGCCAGGGCTGAAGAGCCAGGAGCTGGCCCAGGAGGGGGATGGCTGAGGGAGGGTGAGGATCTCCCGTTGTTCTGCCAGGGCTTGGGGGATTATCCAGCTCCTGGCTCTTTGGCAGGCATGGGCCATATGTGGCGGAAGCATCCTGGAGGAGGAAGGTGACTCATCCAGATGCTGATGGAGCAGGTTGCTGGGCCAGGGCAGGCTGGGCCGGTTCTGCAGGAGCTGCCAGAAGGGGGTGCTGTGTCCCATTCATGAGGCAAAGGCTCCTGGGCCTGGAAGAGTCAAACTTTAGGTGGGGACCCCAATGTCCCTGCAGTACCTCCAAAGTCTTGCCATCCCATAGGCCAGGGGGAAGAGGTCACACAGCCCCAAAGTTGAGCAAGCCCAGGGGACCCCAAATGAAACCATCCCATATGCACTTTAACCCTTGTGGGCCTCCTTATAGCACATGCACACAAAAAGGGAAAGGGCTGGAAAAGGAGCCCAGTGCTGGTACCCAAAACCTAGGGTAGGTGAGGAGACAATCTTAAAGGGACAGTCCCTGAAAAGGTCTCCTCTAGTTGGAGGACAGGTACACCCCCACCCAAGGAAGGCCCCTTACTTTCAAAATCATTTGCCCTGAGGGGCCCAAAGTGTTCTGAGCCCCACTGTCTAAAGGGGGCGGCCGAGGCGGGCTGGGGCCCAGGGCTGCTCAGAGCAGTCTTCATCCCTTTAAGATGGCGGAGAGGAAGGCCACACAGACCAGGTCAGCAAATGGAGAGGGAGCAAGAGCCAGAAAAGGGGGTTAGTGTTGGAGGCAGGACACAGACACAGGACAGATACACACATACACACACACAGTGGGCTCAACGCCTACCTTCTGGCAAACCTGAAAGACAGATTTCTAAAAAAACAAACAAAAAAAGACAAAATAAAAAAAGAAATAAAAAAAAAAACCAACAAGACGGTATGTGGATAAGCAGGTAGGGAGTGGGCTTCCCAGGTTCAAGGGTCACCCAGTTTTGGAAGAGCCGCTCAGCGAGACTAGAGTCCTGTCCTTCAGGTCTGCTCCCACCCTCTTGGCAGCACTTGAAGCTGCATCCTGTGGCATGAACGGCCAATGGCTGATTTTTTTTTTTTTTTTTTTTTTGTCTGTTTGAGACAGGGTCTTACTATGCAGCTCAGGCTGGCCTCGAGCTCATTTTGTAGCCCAGGCTGGTCTCGGATTCGCAACGTTCCTCCTGCCTCAGCCTCCCAAGTGCTGGGATTACAGGCGTGCGCCACCACACCCGGCTGGCCAGTGGGCTTTCGAGTGACACACAAGGGCAAGGAGGCCTGCTCTCTCAAAAGCCCTGCTGATGCTTGAGCTATGACTCCCCACATGGGGAGGCGAGAGGAAAGGAGGTGACAGGAACATCCCAAGAGGCTGGATGCACCTCCAGCAGACCCTCTGGTAGCTGGGCTCTGGAGAAGAGATTCCTGCCCACATCCACATAGGAAGGCACAAGAGCAGCAGCACTGCTGGGCAGGCTACTGTGGGCAGAAAGGAGGTCAAAGGGGGCAAGACAAGAGACCAGGAAAAATTTTGCTTGTCAGCCCAGCCTGGCTCCTGCCTCATGACTTTGCAGCTGCGTCACCAAATGTTTCCATGGGAACCCAGGAGAGAAAAGGGGGGCTTTTATTTTAGCATCTGAGTTCACACTCCCCTAGAGAGGAGGCGGCATCGCCCATCTGCTTGGGGCCAGAGAATAAGGGGTGCCTCTGAGGAGTTGGGGAGAGGCCTGAAAGGATAGGTCTTGGGCACATAAGGTGTTGATAGTGACCCAATTCTTAAGTTTCCTGAGGCCCCTTCTAACCCTAGGACCCAACCCCAGTTCTGGCCACCCTACCCCACCTCCCAGGTGAACAGAAAGGCCTGGCCCCAGCCTCTCTGCCATCACAAGGGCCCCACTCACCTGCGGACAAACTTGGAGGTGAACTTGCTAAAGATGCTTCCAGAGGCACCCCGCCGGCCCTGGCTGTGGCCAGAGGGAGAGGCTGGGGTCACACCGTAGGGCAAATTTTGCTGGTCCCGCACCTGTCGGAGCTGCCCAGCGTGGAAGGTGCTTCGACTGGACACACCCCGGGGGAAATTAGTTCGGTCTGGGGCTCCACCACTGCTGCTGATGTTGTGGGCAGAGGGGGAGGCGACAGGGACACGCTGGGGGGCTGTGCTGTGGGAAAAGAGGTGGGGGCGAGGGAATGTGTCAGGTGCAGGGAAGGGATCACATCACCGAGCACCTGGAATGCCCTGTGGTGTGGACGGGGAGGGCAGATGCCAGGGAAGAGGCAGGCAACCACAGAGGACACAGAAGGACGGGTGTGACCACTGAGGACAGCGGTGAGTCGGAGACTTGCGGAAGTGGAGGAGATGGTTTGGGGAGAAAGGAAGGGAGGCAAGGAAGGACCCATGTGTAAGAACAGTACAGGATGGAGAGAGCTCGCTCCTTGGACCTTCAATGGGACAATGGGGACCAACCCTCAATGACTGAGGTTCACAACAAAAAGGCTTCCCTTTGGAGCTTCAGGACAGCTTCCTGCATACCTGTTCTGAGAGGGAGAATCGAAGGAAAAGAGGGGCATTAATGCTATTTTTTGTGCCCTCTATGTCCTAGCTACAGGGGACAGAGCCATTTCTTGTGGCTAAAATGACAAGAAGGGAACAGGCCCCCCAGGTGGGAAGAACTTGCTGGGGAAAGGGGAGGGCAGCAGGTGCACCAGCTGCCCTAGCACACTTGCCTGGGCCGCGGCACCTCACAGTTACTCTCCGTGGGGGGCAGCCCAGAGGACTTGTTGGGGTGCACGGAGGCCGACATGGATTTCTGGTGCTGGCGGGGCCGGGCCGCAGAGACTGCGGCAGAAGCAGAAGCCGTGGAGGCCCGGGACCCTGGCATGGTTAGGCTAGGAGACAAAAGCAGCGGAGAGGCCCGGGTTAGGGGGTGAGTGAGTGAGGAGCCTGAGTTAGTTAGGAAGCAAGGGCAGGGCCAGAGCATCAGCAGGCTGCAGGTCAGAGCTGTTGACAGAGAGATGGGAAGTAGAGGGCAGGGTGAGGAGGTGGTAAGGTAAACCAGAGCCTAGGAAGAGGAAACCAAGATGAGGGCAAGCTGATAGGAGGCCACTGCCTCCAGTTGTACTGGTCTCCTAGGAATTCTCTGAGCAGGGACGTTTCTTTTGCACAAGGAGCAGGGTGTTGCTGTGGGGAAACTTTCACTAAGCTCACAGGAGGCAGAGCCAGAATGTGACACATTAGAAAAATCTGTTATTAGGATGGGGAGCTTTGCTCTCAGACCACAGTTCGAGTTCCCCAAATGTGCATCCCCACAGATGGGCACTCCTGGCTCTGCCCTGAGCTGGGACCTTGAAAGACAAAGCCTTAGGAACCTAGAAGAAACTGCTCCAGGCCTGGCCTCAGTCACGAAGCAGGAAGGTCGCTGAGGTGACCATCAGAGTCCCACCCTCAGCAAACAGCAGGAGCAATCAGAGAGGAAGGGAGGAGGGATGGCGTGGAGCGGGGGTGAGGGTGGGGGTGGACAGCCAGACTGAACAGAGCCAGGACGAGACTCCAGGGAATAGGGGCGGTGCTGCAGGGGAACCTGTGATGCTGACAGATATAACCGCCCCACTGGGAGGGGAGGCATAGGAGTGTGGCAAGGGGCCCAGTTGCTCACCTGTCTTTGCCGTTCTGGATGGAGGGCTGGCCGAGGGTGGCCCTTTCCAAAAGCGGGGAGTTCCTGCTTCGGTTTGTGCTGGTGGAGAGGACACTATTCTGTAAGGGAGTGAAAGTAAGAGGTGTTGCACAGGAAGCTGAGGGTTCTCTAGTCAGACTCTTCTCCAGGGCCAAGAAATAGCTTCCCTCCCTCTTCCCTTCAAGCAGATAGTGGCAGGTTCAAAAAAGGATTTTGGCTGGGTGTGATGGCACACACCTGTAATCCCAGCACTCAGGAGGCTGAGGCAGGAGGGTCTCTAGGAGTTCAAGGCTGGCCTGAGCCACAAAATAAGTTCAAGCCAGGCTGAACTACATAGTAAAACCTTGTCTCAAAAAGACCAAAAAAAGGGTTCTGCTCTTCACCCAGGAGGCTGGGCTTTCTACAGTGTCTGGATTAACAAAAGAGTGGCCTAGGAAGGGAAGGCCCCCACATACGAAGGGCAGAGGACAGGAAGAGGGCCCTGGGGCTGGGTGGGGGCCATGGCTCACCGTGGAGGGGGTAGGAGTGGTCTTCTTCCTCTCCAGGCCAGGCAGGGGGCTGGCAGGCACTTTGGCAGTGCTGCTGGCCTTCCGCCCTACCTCTCGGTCCTCCTCAGGCCGCTTATTTTCTGTGTTGTTACTCTGAGTCTTCTTTGAGTAGGAATTAGAGGTGGGAATGGCTGGGCCAGCTGTGGAGCCACAGATGAGATGGGTAAAGCTGAGTGCCCACTAAGGGGCCATTCACTCCTTGAATGGCACTCTTATCACAAGCCCCAATGCACAGAGGTGGAGGAGTCAGTGACTTGCCTACAGCCATGCTACTAATAAGTGGCTGAACTAGGAATAAAACTCAGCAGTCACTCAGAGCCCCTACAATCATTCTGGCTCTGGACAGGGGTGTATTTCCCCAAAACCACGTACCCTGGTCGCTGAAGCGTCGCTGCTTGGGGTTGGCTGAGACACTGCGCTGTACTTTGTGGGATGGGGATGGGGCGCTGCTATTAGTCAGGTCAGCTGAAGGCCGGGGCTTCAAGGCGATGGCATCACCTTCCAGCTGCAGTAACAGAAAATATAGCATCAAAGAAGAGCAAGAGCCATGCAGAGACGCATCCAGATGGTCACACTTACATATACTCTTACGTACTACCCTTCCCCAACACACACACATTCCAGGCTCACAGATCACATTATCCCAAAAGACTGATACACACCTACACATATTCCCCTTCACCCTAGAGACCCACATGCCCTGTCACCCATAAAGGCAAACAGCCAGACACACAACGTCCACAATCTGCCCTCAGACAAGGATACACACACTCAGAAACACAAACACACGAGAATATACATTCAGACTCAGAGACACCCCACCCATAACAGAGGAATCAGGACCTATACTAGGAGCCACCAGATACCTCTTAAACAGGCTAGTGTGAGAACTTAAGAGGGAGCCCACCACCACTGGAAGAGTGCACATGGGCATTCACAGGCACTGAACCTAACCCAAACAGGAAGATCATCAAGCCTCTAGTATCATAGCCAGAACAGACATACCTGCGCATGGAAACGTAGACCCACACACACACACCAGGAAAAGGCAACACAGACCAAAACTTCACCTAAGACAGACACATGCACAAACCCGAAGATGCACACTTCCAGACACAAATATATCTAGATCAACACAAAACTGCCAGCCAGATGACACAGACCCATTCCAGTCAACATAGACTTAGATCCCCCATTTCTACCTCGCTCACTGAGGGAGATCACTGAAAGAGCTCAGACACCACAGCTGGTTCAAGCTGGCTGGGAGAGGCCATGACTACTTGGAAATGGGCTCTGCCCTCCACAGGTATGAGAGGCTGAGGTGCTCCCCATAGCCGGAAAGGCTGCTGAAAGAATGCAGCAGGGAATACATACCTCAGAGCTTTTGTAGCCCAGAAGCAGATAGGTGGCCATCACCTCGTTGTACCTCTGGCCCACCAGTGAGTCCTGGATCTCTTCCCGTGTGTAGCCCATGGACACCATCAACTCTGCACAGAGGACACAGTTAAGGCTGGTCTTAACCCCAAGGTAGGTCAGCCTTCGGCCCAGCACAGCCTCACCTGTCCGCCGGGGGTCCTTGTAGTCTGGAAGTGGCTCCACATAAGGCTTCAGTTCATCATCTTCGTGCCCCACATTCATCCATCGGTCTTTCATAATTTGCTGGGGAGCAAAGGGAAAGGAAAGGGATAGAGGCAGAGAAAACCCATCTTGGAGGTTTCCATGGGAACCCCAGGACTTTCAGCCAGCTGGGCTCTAGGCTGCTCACCTCTAAAGTGCCTCTCTTGCTAGGATTAAGAATGAGAAATTTCTTAAGCAGGTTTTCACAGTCCGTAGACATGTAGAACGGAATACGGTATTTTCCCCTCAGTACTCGCTCCCGTAGCTCCTGCGGTTAGAAAATTCAAATCATGCCAAGGCCAAGAGAAGAAACCTAATATCCAGTGTCCTGAGAACTCAAGACTGGCTAAACAGACGTAAGTGAAATACGGTAGAAAGCAGACAGCCTGGGCCAAGATGCCTCAATAGAGAGGCAATGAAATCACATACTCTTGCTTGACCAATCTGAGGCCTACAAACCTGACTACTTTGACAAATGAAGGCAAAACCATTTATCCTATCTCTCAAGACAGGAATTGAGGCTACTGATTCCCATGGGTGGAAGACCTTTTAACTGCTGCTACCTGAGCAGCCCTACTCTGAAGCTCTGGCCTGGGAAAAATATAAACAGGTGGTAAATGTGAGAGGTCAGGAATAAGACTAGATGCCAAGAGGAAACGGAAGTAATAAAAATGATCTAAGCCTGCATTTCACTCCACCTTGAGGTTCTGTCCATCAAAAGGCAGGGATCCGCTGACCAGGGTATAGAGGATGACTCCTAAGCTCCATACGTCCACCTCAGGTCCATCGTATTTTTTGCCTTGGAAGAGTTCTGGGGCAGCATAAGGGGGACTGCCACAGAAGGTATCCAGCTTGTTCCCAAAGGTGAATTCATTGCTAAACCCGAAGTCAGCAATCTTGATGTTCATATCAGCATCCAAGAGTAGGTTTTCTGCCTGGAGGGTAAGATAAAAAATTGACAGGGTAGCTGGGTGTGGGAGGCTGAGGCAGGAGGAGCACCAGGAGTTCAAGGTTAGCCTGGACTACACAGTGAGTTCTAGGCCAGCCTGAACTACATAGCAAAACTGTCTCAAAAAAATAAAAAACCCTGAAAACCAAAAGAAACATGGTAATACCAAATAAGCCACATTGAAGCACTGGGCAGGCAGGAGTAAGGGGAATGGGGAACCAATGGATAGTCATCTCAGCCTCACAACTTTTTTTTTTTTTTTTTTTTGTCTTTTTTTGGGACTCCAGAGGCAAGTCCTCTATCAGAAGCATTTCTAAGGGCTTCCCGGTCATCGTGAAAGAAATGAAAGAGTATCATGAATACACGGGATCTGAGGGCTACTGATGTCTACATTATGTAGGACAGAAGGGAACACCCAACCCCACTCAAGGACATGGAAGTTAAGGGCACACCTCACCTTTAAGTCTCTATGAACAATAAATTTCTGGTGACAGTACTGGACAGCAGACACTATCTGAAAGGGAGGAAGAAGAGTCAGCCCAGTGGTGCAAAAGGGTTGGCCATGAGATCTCGTGGATCTGTAATCTCATGAACTAAATGTAAGTTGCCACACACAGAGACAAGAGTCCAACATAGCCCCCTAAGGACACTTATAGAGGGCAACCTTTCTCTGTATACTGAACCCCAAAAGGCCGAGGTTGGCCCCGTACCCTGTGGAGGGAGGCGCACCCACCTGTCGGAATTTGGCTCGAGCCTCTTTTTCTTTCATCCTGCCATGAGCCACTAAGTAATCAAATACCTCTCCTGCAAGAGATAGGTGGGAGCACAGTGAGAGCTGGTGGGGGTGGGCAAGAGCAGGAGTACAGCAGGAAGAGGTATTTCACACCTACCACCACTGGCATATTCCATGACAAGGTAGAGAGTCTTCTCAGTCTCGATCACCTCAAATAACTTAACTACAAGAGAGAAAGCCAAGCCAGGAATCAGATGGGAAGTCGGGGCCACACACCCAGCCCAATGTGTCCAGGGCATCCTAGTGACAAATGTTACCACTTTCATGTTTTTCCTGCCCCTAGGTTCCTCTCATACCAGGCAGCTACCAAGGGTAGTCCAGCGTGCCAGGGGTGAAGCTGGACTTTGAGCTGAGCCTCCTTCCCTGAGGCATCCTTGACACCCTCAAGGACTGCAGATTCCAGAAAGCAATGAGTTGAGGAGAACTACATGCTGCCACTTGGGAGCCCTTATGTGGGGAAGGAATGAAGGAGTGGCAACTGCATCTCACCTATGTTGGGATGGTTCAGAACTTTCATGATTCTTACTTCACGGAATAACTGGAAAAGAAAACACCAGTGGTCATGCTTGCTGAACTTTTGTTCCCCTCAGGTCCTTCTAAAGACAGCCTTTGCTAGGACTTTTTTAAAAAATGAAAAACCAAACCCCAATCCAGGTAGAGATAACAAACAGGGCAGTTGTCCAGTTCATTATGGTCCTCCCACAGCTGCAAGGCAGGGGAGAGACAGACCAAAAAGGGAAGATGGAGAAGAGCTGGGTTCTGCTGACTTCCCACCCCACGCTGCTTCAGGAGCCAGCTGATCCCTCTTCCCCATCCACCCAAAGCCAGCCTCAAAAACAGTAGGGTTCTGGCCGGGAGCCTCCACCGGAGGGAGTGCGAGGCTGTAGATGTGAATATTCAGCATCTAAGCTCCTTCCCCAGTTCAGTGACCAAACACACACCAGCTGGTCTGATGAGGGGGGTGGGAGGAGGGTCTGAAGGAGTACCCATCACTCTCTGACTTACTCAAGTCAGAGGGCCTACAGTAGGGTATAGGCCTTTCTCTCCTGGGCCTCCAGGGTGGTGACAGAAGAAGCCACTCCTATATATAGCTGATGCCAATTTTAATCAAATCCACCTCCACACACTCACGCTCTCTTTGTGAAACAAAATCGGGGCTCCAAACCATACATTTCCATAAAGAAAATGACAGAAATTAACTCTTTCTCCCTGCGGGGGCCAGGGAACTGGAAATGGGGGTTTTGTAACTTCCAGGCCTCACCACTTGTATAAAGAACAGAACTGGCTGAGATTTTTTGTTTTTTGTTTTATTCTTTTTTGGGGGGAAGGATTTAGCCCTAATTCAGGATATAATTTAGGGCCAGGGATATAGCTCAGTAGCATAAGCGCCTGCCTGGCAAGCGCAAGGTCCTGAGTTCAATTCCCGGTACTACCCCCGCCCCACCAAAAAAATGAAAGGATATAATTTATAGAATAAAGTGAGAAATTTTTTTTTTTTTTTTACTAGGAATGGAACTCAGGACCTTGTGCTTGCCAGGCAGATGCTGTGCTGCTGCGCTGTATCTCAGGCATTTTTGTTTTTTTGATACAAGGTCTCACTCTGTAGTTCAGGTTGGCCTTGCACTTAATATGTATGTATGCATATACATACATACATATACATATACACACACAGGGAGCGAGCGAGCTGGGAATAGAAACCAGGGCTTCATACATGCTAGACAAGTACTCTTACCACTGAGCCACATCTCCAGCCCACCAACAGTTATTTTGGATGAAGTAGCAAAAAATGCTGACTATCACTGCAGGGCCAGTAATAGGCAGCAGCACTGAAATCAGGCTGAGTCAGTGGCACTCTCCTGGGAGAGATTAGTTTTCTGGGCTCACCTAGAACCTGAAAGGGACTAGCGTCTTTAGTATTTGTCCTTTAGGGATCACAGTTAGGACCATAATTAGACTGACCTTTGTAATAAATGTATTAACTTTTTTTTTTTAGTACCAAGGACTGAACTCAGGACCTTGCACTTGCCAGGCAGGTACTTGTGCCACTGAGCTACATCCCCGGCCCCGTAATAAATGTATTAAAAGGCTTTTAAAATGGCTATATGTTAAAACAAAATAAAACAAAAAACAAGCAGCTGTACATATCTGGTGGCACCTTCTGGCCACTCAGGAAGAAGGAAGAAAAAGGCAGGGAATGAGACTGTTTGGCCAAAACTGATGATGAATACAATGGTAGGCTAGAATGCTCCAAAGACCAAAAGTCCACGCACACTCCCCTTTACTTCTGTGAGGCTGGAGCCCTCCTTTCCCTCCTCCTAGAAAGGTGCTGTAGTGATGACAGCAAGGTTCCCTTGGAACCGAGGTCCCCCAACCACCCATATACCTTTTGTTGTTGTTGTTATGGCACTGGGTATTGAACCCGGGCCATGCTAAGCAAGCACAGGGTCGTGCCTAGGCTGGTCTAAAATTTAAAATCCTTCTGTCTCATCTTCCTCAGCAGCTGGGATTACAGGTGTACACTACTGAACCTAAGAACTCGAGTAAAATTAAAAAAAAAAAAAAAAAAAAAGGGGACCACTTTGGTTCTAGCTGTCAGTATGTCTGGGGAACTCATTCCACTTGTTCTAATTCCAGGAGCACCTTCCTGTGTAACAATCCTTAGCCCCACCCCAGTCCTAAGCCTCGCGGTGATATCACTGCATCTAACATGGAGCCCCGTCCCGCCCCTCAAGTACCACAATGTGCTCAGATGAAATGTAGCCACAAGATGAAAAGAACGAGGTCTTTGTTAGAAAAAATGAGTGAAAGTTAGCTGCAGTAGGAGGACCCAAAGAAGTCCGCTGTACCTGAATAGGACAGCTTTTTTGGAGCTATATAAAAGCCTCCTCCTTCTAACTGCTGGAGCCCAAGATGGGGAGAGAGGCAGAGGGTTTCTAGTTCTGTAACAACTAGCCACTGGCAGGCTGCCCCCCTTCTGCAAATGGAAGTCTCTCTTCCCTTGCTTCTACCAACGGTTTTTTAGTCCCTTGGGCACAGAGTTTATGCTCTTACTTTGAGGTTCCTTTACCCACTAAGAAAGACTTTAGTTTCTGACTGTTAAGAGGGAAAGCAAACTTCAACCTTGCCTTGTAAACTATGTGCAAATGACTGTGACATCTAGAGAGCCTAGAAGTGAGCAGGAAAACTGGAAAGTCCTATTCCTAATGCTCACACTGGAGTTCAGCTTCTAAAATCTCCACTCTCTCACACTGACTCTGAAAGGGAGCTGGCACAGAACCACTGGCAGGTTCCTTGCCTCCTCATCTCTGTACTTCCACAGCCATTCCCCTGGATCATTCCAGGTCTTGGATTAGTTACATGTGTTTCTAGTAATACTATAAACTTGTATTTCTGCATAGGGCTGGCCAAAGGCCAGATGATAACAAGATGCAGGAAGCAGGTCAGACAGACCAAGTAGGTGGGAAGGGGCAGAAAGACTTCCAAGGAGCCAGTATCAGTGGCGAAAGACCACCCAGGGAGTCCACAGGGGATGTAGCCAAAGCCTTGTGGGGTGAGAGGCACAGTGGAATGGCCAGGTGGGCTCAGCAGTTCTCTGAGCCCTGAGAGAAGCTGAAAACAGGACTGAAGGTGCTGGTGCTTACTTTCTGAAGGCTGGAAGAGTTCAGTTGAGTCTTGTCAATGATCTTCACAGCTACCTAAACGTAAGACAAAAACAGCCCAAGATCATTTTGATCAGGCTAAACCCAGGACTTTCCTATTTCCTCCTCTTTATATCATACTCCTTTTTTCATCCCTTGGCCCCCACTCCGGCCCATACTGGGGACTGAGTCTAGGAGTACCAAGCTACATCCCCAGCCTTCCTTCCTTATTTATTTATTTATTTGAGAAGGTTTCACTGTGTAGTTCAGACTGGCCTTAAACTCACTATGTAGCCCAGTCTGGCCTCAAGCTTGCAGGAATCCTCCTGCCTCAGCATCTACAGTGCTGGGATTACAGGCATGCATCATCATGCCTGGCCCCAGCCTTCTTTTAAAAAAAAACTTTAGACAGGATCTTGCTAAGTTGCTCAAGTTGGGTATGAACCTGCATTCCTCCTGCCTCAGCCTCCTCAGTAGCTGGGATCATAGGTATGCATCATTATACCCAGTTTATCTCAGTTTTTAGTATCCTCTCAATCTAATTTTGGTCTGAGAAACAGGAGACCAACTGCAGTAGCAGTCTTACTACTACCTGCTGGAATGCCAGCATGGCAGGAGCTGCTGCCAAGCCCCCAAGCCCAGTGCTCACCTCTTTCCCAGTCAGGATGTGCCTGGCCAACTTCACCTTGGCAAAGTTACCCTTGCCAATGGTCTTGAGGAGCCGGTAGTTGCCAATATGTGGCTGCTCATCAGCAGAGGTGGCTGAGTTGCGGCCCCGCAGCATGTTGGACTTACTGCAGGGCTTGGAATCACCGTGTCCCAGGGTGGGCTGCAGGTGGAAACAGATATGCCTTTACATGCCATCCTTCAGTTCCGTAAGTCCCTGCCCTCGGCTTTGCAAAAAATGTGAGAAGACAGGGTACAGGAGGAGACTCTGCAGGGCTGGGAAGCATGCAAAGAGGGAGGCAGGGAGCAAAAAAGGTCAGGACCGCCAGTCTTCACTACAAGAGAGGACAGCATAAGGTCCAACGCCAACATCATGGGGGTATCAAAGCTTAGGACCAGAGCTATTCCATTATGGTACTCTCATTAGTGAACCAGCAGCTCCTCTGCCTTGGGTGGGAGATCTAGTCTCCTACTATCTTCCTATTCATACTGCAAGAACACTGTGTATTGGAGTCCCAGGAGCAGCATGGCCAGAATCACTTCAAAGCCATCATTACTACCCAATGTTTTATTTATGTTAACCCTTATGTTTATCACTTTATATTTTGTTTTATCTTATTGGTTGATTGATACAGGGTCTTGCTATAGTTCAGGCTGGCTTTCAACTCTATGTAGCCCAGGCTGCCCTCAAACTTGTGGTGATCCTTCTCCCTCAGCCTCCTAAGGGCTGGGATTACAAGCATGTGCCACCAGGCCCAGCTAACTTTTATTGTATCTGTAGTGAGCATGGAAGCCCACAAAGGCCAGCACACAATCCCTTTTCCACAATGTACGCTAGTGCCTGAAGGGATTGGGCTATGGTCGATACTTAACGAGTCTTTGTACAGTGAGTGAACAGAAGGGTTGAATATGAAGAAGGCAGCAGTCTGCCCTGCTCTGCCCTCCTTAGATACCTCACAGCTCACACAAGGGCATGAAGAAGCCGAAGTTACAACTGGCTCTGAACAAGTACTCAAACGATACAAGAAGTGTATGGTTCAAAAGAAAATATGGCCGTATGAAGATTACATTCCTCAAAGTGCTAAACACAGACAATGTGATCCAGCAATTTCATTCCTAAAAATATACCCAAGAGGAATGAAGACATATGTATATACAAAAACCTGTGCACCAATGTTCATGGCAGCATAATCCTTACTAGCTAGAAAGTAGAAACAACTCAAATGTCTAACAATGAAGAAGAGATAAATGTGTGCAACATATATCCATACAGAATATTGACTATAAAAAGAAATGAAGGACTGATACACAGTACGAAATGGAAGAATCATGACAGTATTGAGTAAACAAAGGACTCCATGTTGTATGATTCCATTTATACAAAATGTCCAGAATAGTGTAGACACAATGTAGATTACTAGTTACCCAGGGCTGAGGAGGGTATGGGGAGGGTGACCTGAAGGTGACAACTAAGGGGTGTGGCATAGCTTTTTGGGGTCATGAAAATGTTCTAAAATTGACTGTGGCGATAACACACACCTGTGTGAATTTAATAAAAGCCACCCAATTATGAATAGGTAATTATATGGTATGCAAGTTATTTCTCAATACAAAAAGGGGCCTAATCTAACTCCCGCTTTGCATCCCGATCCATTTCTCTCCGAATACCCAGCACCATTCTCTAGCACACTAGGACAATGCTGGTGCCAGAGCCCTATTCCAGAACCATCAAGAGCTGGTCTGGAAATTTCATGATAGTTTAGATAGTACAAAGGTGACGAGAGGTGTGAGAGTCAAGGTTCTTTCTTTCAGGGCTTCTTCTGGCTCCAAGAGAAGCCCTCAAAAACCATAGAGAACTGGGTGTGGTGGCACACACCTGTAATTTCAGCACTTTGGGAGGCTGAGGCAAGAGGAATGCTGAGTTTAAGGCCAGCCTAGGCACTACACAATCAGTGCAAGGCCAGTTTAAACTGCATAGCGAGACCATGTCTTAAAAACAAAAAACAGTAAAAACATCAGTTGCTAAAATCTAAGTAACTGTTCATGGTCTCTTGTCAAGAAGCTTGCTGGTTCAACAGACGTTTCCTTCTTAGGCAGAAAAAACAAGTACTCTGATTCTGACTCCCTCCTTCTCCAACATGTCTGGGAGGGCCTCTGTATAATAGTAATAGGCTGTTCTTTTTTATGCAGACTGACCCAGAAGACTGACCCTCTGGGAGAAAAGACCCTACACACATGGTAGGCCATGAAAGGAGAGGTTCCTGATACACTAGAAGATCCCCTTTCTATCTTCTTGGCTTCCAGGGACCATCTACTCTGATACAAGCCCTCATTATCTCTAGCACCTCATGAAGCCCCCAGCCCTAATGTATACTCCAGCTGCAGAACTCTTGGGCCCACTGTTCACATATTCTATAACTCATCTAAGGCTAGCTAGTCCTCAGACAATGCGGCTACACAAGCAGATATTCAACTGTTTGGATTTTCCCTCAAAGAATTCTGGAGCTCATACACCTTGGAGGGAAGGGCAATTAATTCCAGGCCCTACTGGTGTCAGCTAGAGCCAATCTCCTGAAAGGTACCCTAAGCCCACCTAGCAGGTCCTGAAGGCCTGGCCTCTATGGCCCCCCTCTTCTCGGCCCCATCCTCCCAGACAAGCTGCCAGACTTCCAGTGCCCTCACACACTCGGGGCCAGCAACAGCAGCAATCTCTCTCCTCTCCCAACTCTAAGAGAAGAAAGCTTTCTCAGGAATTTCTAAGGCATCTTGCAGGTTTCTTGCTACACCCCATTTCTGAGGCCACAAACTAAAGGCAACAGGAGCCTAGCAGTCTCCCAAGTCTGAAAACCTAGAACAAGGTATTGGGCCCTCTATCCCGCTACAGCCCCATCTGGGAATACCATGCTTGTTGTGAGCTCTGCCCTGCCCATCCCTCTTGGTGTTTCTGCCCTGGGGCTGATCTTTGTGGCACAGCAGGTCAGCGTTTTCCGCCAGGTGTGGCTGCACCTGAACTCAGCGAGCATCAACATCCACAGGCAAGATTTGCCATGCACACTCTTCCTTACTAGTTAAAATTCAGACTTCTTGGGCCAGGGATTTAGCTCAGTGGTGCAGCTCCTGCCTGGCAAGCGTGAGGTCCCCAGTTCGATTCCTGGTACCCCCTCCCCGCAAAAAAAGATTCAGACTGTCAATACTAGAGACAAATTGCCAGAATTTAGATCCTAACTGCCACATAACACGTATTTATCACTGTTAACATCATCCTTGCGAGAGAAGTGAGGCAGTAAGAAGTGAAGAAAACTACCCAGAAGATAATTTATGTGGGGTATTCCCACACATATGTGAGGTAATCCAGTGGGCGCAGAGGAGCTCTGCAGCCCAAAAGAACTAGGTTCAAGTCCTGGATCCCCTGCCTACTAACTTTCGATTCCTTACCTGTAAAATGGCAATAAAACATTCCCTACCTTTCATAGGTAGGTGAGAATACATGTAAAATACCTACCCAATGCTCAATAATGAGCAATCATTATGTCCCCAAACGTTATCATCTGCTAAGCCAGAAATCTCGCTGCCAACAACCTTCTGTTTCTAAAGTGAGCCCACTTAAGCCAGCTGCAGGCCTTCTCCAGGGGAGTCATCCAGACTGAGCACCCACTGTCCTCCAGGTCTGGTGAAACACCACCTGTCCTCCGTCCCCATGGGCACCCCATCCCAGCTCCTATAACATTTACAAGAGGGACAGAGAGGAGCCAGGCACTTTGATGGGGTGGGCTGTGAAGGGCTGCTTCCAAGCTGGGTATCCCAGCAGTGAGGGGGGAGGTTCCATTTGTTCAAGATCCAAGGAAGCAACAAACCCTGGCATCTGTTCTGCTCCTGTTGCAAAGCCACCATCTCACTTTTCAGGTCGAAACTTCTCTCCCTCCCTTCCTCCCTTC